CCAAGACAATGGGCAGCAGAGGTGGAAGATCAAGCCTACCTGGGTTTGCACTAAGGCATCCTGTAATGTCCTGTCAGACTCAGACCACCAAGCCTCCACGTGAACCAAAACAACTTCAACCCTTCCATTACATACGGCCAAACTTGCCTAATCTTAGTTTAGAAACACACCCTATAATTATCTTTTGCAGGGACTAGAATTCAGTAGCAACAATACCAGGTTATGTTCGTCATTTATAAAGTTAGAAATAAGAGATTTTTGCTGTAGTGGACCATGGTTTCACTAAAATTTAAGACGTAAATATTCTTTTATTTACTGAAGGAAACTTATAAAATCGAATATATTTAATACTTATATGAAAATACAGTGTTTTGTTTTTTTTTTTTTAAATTGTCACTTGGGGCCCCTGAGTGGCTCAGTTGGTTAAGCATCTGACTTTTGATTTCAGCTCAGGTCATGATCTCAGGGTTGTGAGACTGAGCCCTGTGTCAGGCTCTGCAGGGGCATGGAGCCTGATAATTCTCTCTCTCCCTCTCCCTCTGCTCCCCCTTGCCACTTCTCTCTCTCTCCTTCTCTAAAAACAAAACAAAACAGAAAACCTTTCACTCACCTTGCTTGACCACATTTTCTATATCTTACGGATAATAGGCATTACTTTATAAAATGGAGAAGCTTTTTTGAGAGAGAGAGAGAGAGAGAGAGAGAGAGAGAAAACGCGTGCACCGGAGTGGGTGGAGGGGTAGTGGGAGAGGGAGAGAACAAATCTCAAGCGGGCTACACACCCAGCATGGAGCCTGAATCTGGGCTTGATTTCGCGATCCTGAGACATGACCTGAGCCAAGATCAAGAGTTGGCCACTTAACCGACTGAGTCACTCAGGTACCTATGAACCTTTTCCTTAAAATGACAAACAAAACATGAGAACTAGTATAAGATGGTGGACTAGAAGTCAAGATGCTCCCCTCCGTACCCTTCACTAAAAACGGCAGAAAACATACATATATATATTTTTGAAGGAGGACATTTTTGATAGCACTAGAAACCATTAAAGAATTCCATAGCAGACCAACTCAGAAATTTCTAGATTAAAAGCAGATAGAATCGGTTTGGTAAAATAAAAACCTCTACCTAAGAGTTGCATAAGAGAACATTTCTAGAGAGGGAGGAGAAAAACAAACAAATAACAGAACTGTACAAAGAGTACAAAAGGATCCCAGGTAAATAGTTAAAAATGTTTGCAAAATAGAAGCTAAGTAGACCAGCCCCTTAAATATACAGACAACCCCTGAATATAATGCAGGAAAATCTCGCAAAATGTAGTCTAAATAAAATGAACTAACTGCCTTAGGGTATAGGATCCTAGGATGAGTATACAGGCCTAAGAAGGAAATCAGGAGGCCTAACAAAAGACATGGAGGGCAGATTGAAATGAATCAGTTTTGCCTGGAAGCAATAAATTAGGTTCTTCATTCCTGTCATCGGTTTGGTATCTGCGGATAATGTGTACTGACCTACCTGCCTCCTCTACACACTTCAAAGTTAAGTACACCCCACTTAGAAGAACACACAATCAATAATTTTAGCCTTTGGAAAAACTGATCTACTCAAGTGCAAAGGAAATATACAGCAATTTTCTCATCAATTAAAAATTAATAAAGTCAGTGCTATGATTCTACAGAGAACTTTAGGGGCCCACTGAGCTGTAGAGTTCCACCTGAGAGTGTGCTGGTGCCCTCTGTCTTGTAGAAAACTTTCTACCCTATGCTTCCTTGGATTGAGTATCTGGTGGATCATCCCCCCCTTCTGTGACAGCATTCTCAATGGACAGCAGAACGAGGGGGGGACTGGGGAGCTGGACAGGAAAAAACACCCTGCATCCAGACTCCTGGTCAGAAGCTCTCTCTGCAGTGGAGGCAAAACCTAAAACCGGAAACACGTGCTGCCACTCAACAGGAGATGTGCGCTTCCCTGACCAGATGGTTCTCACACTCAGGCAGACACTTCACTGTTTGCGTCACTTACTATTACACATTCCAAAAGCTGACATTTTCCCACACAAGATGTTTATATTTGAAAAATAAATGGAAAAAAACCTAAATATTTATATCTTAGTTGATACTTGAAAATATTGAAAAAAAAAAAAAAACAACCATTTACATGGTAGTCTGTTATTTTTATGTATGAGCTAACCCTTGAGGATCAAGCTTTAGTTGACAAATCCTCTACTGGGGATACATGCACAAAAATTCGTTTTTGTGTCTGTTTCTCACTATAGATACTTTTGGAATTTAGTTATTTTTTATTTACCTACTAAAGGATTCCCTGCTGAGTTTATGAGCTACGGGTGATGACCTGTGGGTGACTTGTTTGCCAACAATATGAATTACATTACATCTTTACTCAAGAGAAATGACAATATACACCCTTTACATGAAATGAATCTCCATGGTGGCATTAAGCAAAACTGCTTGAAACTGGAAACAATCCAAACGTCCATCATGAGGTGAACAGATATACCAGTAGTCGTATATTTATGCAATGGAATACTAGTAATAATAAAAGAACCAAACTTCCATCACATGCAGCAAATGGATATATCTAAAAAAGTTATCATGAGTGAAAAAAGCCAGACACAGAAGTGCATTTTGTATTTATAGTTCTACTTATATGAGAGTGAAAACCATCCTAACATGTTAGAAATCACCACAGGGCTTGCCTGGGTAGGAGCAGGATGACAACTGGCTGGCAAGGGGTTCAGAAAGATTTCTGCTGTGATGGAAATGTTCTGTTTTGACGGGCTTGGTTGTATGGGTAAAAACATATGTTGGAATTAATTGAATTACACACCTAAAATACATGCACTTAATGTTTATAAAATTATACCGCAGTAAAAAACCATAAAAATAATTTTGATTCCTTCAAAAAATTTAATTCTTCTCTTCAGTGTGATTTAAGGGGCCATTGCTGCTATGAACCAAGAACCCACAGCTGCACTGGGGAAAAAGTTGTTCTTGAGAAATAAGAAATTGTTTATTGAAACTTAGAAAAAGAATGAGACAAGCTAAAAAAACTACATTCATGACCAAGACAAAAACCCACTAATCTGGAAAATAAAGATGAAGAGACAGAGCAAACAGACTAACATGAGAGGAAGTTTAGGAGATACTGAAATTTAGGGGCCCCTGGATGGCTCAGTCGTTAAGAATCTGCCTTCAGCTCAGATCATGATCCCAGGGTCCTGGGATGGAGCCCATATAGGGCTCCCTCCTTGGTGGGAAGCCTGCTTTTCCCTCTCCCAATCTCCCGCCTGTGTTCCCTTTATCACTGTCTCTCTCTCTCTCTCTCTCTGTCAAATAAATAAATAAAATCTTAAAAAAAAAAAAAAAAGAGGCAGATACTGAAATTCAAGGATGCCTGGGTGGCTCAGTTGGTTAAGCATCTGACTCTTGATTTTGGCTCAGGTCATGATCTCAGAGTCGTGAGATGGGGCCCTGCATCAGTGTCCACACTGGGCATGGAGCCTGCTTAAAATTCTCCCCCCACACCTCTGCCCTTCCCTTTCCTTCCTCCCCCAATTCTAAAAAAAATTTAAAAAGAAGATACTGCATTTCATTCACACATAGCAACAACCATCTAACAACCATCTAATATATCTAATATGTGTTCTAGAAGGATGGGGACACAGAAAATGGGGAGGAAAAAATGACTTAAGACATAACAGAAGGCAGTGTCCAGAAACTAGAGGGGGGAAAAATAAAACAGTTCTCAGGTGAAAAGAACTTGCCAAGTAGAGACCAAAATGAATGAAATAAACGGCAGATCCTCAAGAAAATTCAGAATTCCAGGAATAAATTCAATATAAATTAAAAATTCAAAAATTCAAAAATTGGCAGGGAAACAAACAAAAAAAATACCCCCTCATTTATGAAGGAATGAGATTTAGGCAACTAAAATAAGAAATGAAAAACAAATAATGTAAGAGTGCAATAGTCAGTCGCTAAACATTAGAAGAAATTTTATCATAAAAGTTTTCCAGGACCGCTAAGGTTTTCCAATAGTAATGGTCAGTCAGTTGACACACGTTCCTATCGGGAATATTAACATGGTATCCAGAGTTTGCTAACCATCTTGTAAGAGTACGGATTAAATGCTATGGTGGCAGCATAAAAGGCAAAAAGCAGGGGCGCCTGGGTGGCTCAGTTGGTTAGGCAACTGCCTTCAGCTCAGGTCATGATTCTGGAGTCCCAGGATCGAGTCCCACATCGGGCTCCCTGCTCAGCAGGGATCTGCTTCTCCCACTGACCTCTCTCCTCTCATGCTCTCTCTCTCTCAAATAATTAAATAAAATCTTTAAAAAAAAAAAAAAAAGAACAAAGGCAAAAAGCAGAAGTTCATGCTAAGCCTGTCACTGCACTGTATTGCAGATGTACCAGCCACAGTCTACCCACCACCATCAGTACTTGTTTTGTGACAAAACAAATTCCTACTTGTTAAATCAAAGTTCCTTAGATTTTGTTTTCCATGAAGCAAACACAGATGTAACTGACATTGTTGTTTTTTGGGTTTTTTTTTGGTCCAGGTATTTTCTTTTTTTTTTTTTTAATTTTATTTTTTATAAACATATAATATATTTTATCCCCAGGGGTACAGGTCTGTGAATCGCCAGGTTTACACACTTCACAGCACTCACGGTCAGGCAGGCTGGGTACTGCATAACACTGATGCCTGCCCTCTCCCTACACACACACACACACACACACACACACACACACACACTTAAAAAAGAAAAAAAAAGGGGCGCCTGGGTGGCTCAGTGGGTTAAGCCGCTGCCTTCGGCCCTCAGCAGGGAGCCTGCTTCCCTCTCTCTCTCTCTCTGCCTGCCTCTCTGTCTACTTGTGATCTCTCTCTGAAAAAAAAAAAAAAAAGAAAAAAAAATCCTAGTTTGTTCCATGGAAAAACCATAGGAAGTTATTGGAATAATCATGAAAGGTTTTACATACAGTTAAAGCATAGTCCTCTTTCTTAAAATCTGATTTCTTGAATTTACTTCTTTTTGGAGCCTCTGTAACCATTTCTGAATAAGATACTTCAAAGGACAGCTCTTCAGTTTCTGGTGGAATGTTTTTTTTCCGATAATCATCACCTAAAAAAAAAAGGACGTACAATTTTTATATGTCATTTAATCAATCAATATCATGTACTGTAAAATAAGCACAAAATATTTCTAAGTTAACCTACAGGCACATCAGAATGTTTACAACCAAAGAACAGAATCAGACTCACCTAGAGGAGTTCGGTTAAATAACAATGTGAGGTCTTCAAACTTCCATATGAATGAATTTCTCTAATCATTATCCAAACAAACTTTCTATTTCTTCTGATGTTTTTAATCTTAGATTCTTCTATCTCATGAAAGGCACTGAAGATTACTAGAGGAAAGCCCACAAATGAGGCATTTCTTCTGTATGTTATGATATTACAGTTAAGGCCATCTAAACCCAATGTTGCTGCTCCTGGGGAAGCAGAAGCTTAAGGCAAAGGGAGAACGGGCAAAGACCCCACTAGAATTCCTGCCTAAATTCACTTCTCCTGTTGTTTCTCCCAAACTATGGGAGGTTTGGTTCTTAGGATGTGTTAAAATTCAATTTGGACTTCACTGCTAGGTTTGTTCATGTAAATTAACCCAAATTCTTGTAATTTGATTTGGTTACCTGACCTCCCATGCTGTTTATTAAAAAAGAGCCAAATGCGTAACAAGAAATGTCCCACATTGTCTGCGAGGTAGTTTGAAATTAAGACAATAAATTCCTTGGCCAAAAACAAGTGAATCCAGAAATCATCTGAGTAGTCCTAAACTCTGATTCCTAACTAATATTTGGCTTGCCATCTTTTTTCATTGCCTGGAAAAACTGTTCATATGCAGTGAAAAAAAAACTGATTATAAAAAAGAGAACTCATGTCTTTTACCCTCTTCTATAGACAGTGACTAAAGAACAACGACGAAAAGAAATAATAGAAGACCTAATTAATCTCACATTAAAAGTTAAATGGAGAAATTTGCAAATCAACAGATTTTAAAATTTTAAACAGAAACACTGATCAAAAATACAATACTCAAGCGGAAGAGGTGCAGTTAAAAGGTAACCCTTTAGCCTTTATGTATTGTTAGAGTTGCTATGTGAGAGTTGCTCTGGTGCTGTACACACTTGAGCCTAAGTAGAGATTTTTGGAAGTGTCCTACTTCCTGGCCCACTCGCAACTATTAAGCAGATCCAGATTCCTTGTGAAAGAGACCTCAAATCAAAGACATTACCCAAGTGAGTAGTTTCTAAATGATGTGATGGTAGTGAAAGAGAAAAAGATTCTGCTTCCAATTTGGCTCAATTAATTTTGTCTGGTGTGACAGAATGGGGTGTTTGGAGCTGGCAAGGAGTGAGTGCTGGAGTGACAGAATCAAAATAGAAAAAAAAAATCCCACACATTTTGCCTTGACAAAGTCAAGAGCAAAAGCGAGAAGCAAAAGCAAAAGCTTTTGCCAGAGCAAAAGCGAGAAGACACAGCTTCAGTTCCATATAAAAGGATGTGCCACTCACCACTCCCTGCACTCTGAACTGCCTCTGCAGGGTCTGGAGATCCGTTGGAGAGAACTGGTAGAGCTGGAAGAGTCTCGAGTACAGACTGTGAAACAAGGGAAAATGAACACAAGACGTTTTAGTATACAAACACATGCTCCCCAACATTCCCATCACATTTATGCTCTGCGGTTTACACAAGTTCTTCTCACCAAAACAATTCTCGATTCCATACATAGCCTGCACCTGATTTCCTGTTTCTGTGTTCAGTCCAAACCTGCAGAGCTAACATGGTTTTCTCAACAGAGAACTCTGTCAAGATGAAAATAACGGTCTTCTTAGCTCTTGAGAATTTGCTGCTTATACCCTTCCTAAGATGTAAAAATTACAATGCTTGATGTCACATAGTTTGACAATGACAGTATTTTTTATTCTTGATGTGGTGGTCATGCATATTGATCTTAAATTTCAGGTGATGATGTGGCTAGATGGTAAATGGAAAGGCCCCTGAGGCCAGATTGCTGGGATTCTAATCCAGGCTCTCCCACTTAGTGACTTTGAATAAGTCTCTCGAGTTCTCTATCGCTTAATCTCCTAATCTATAAAATGATGATGATAATAGAACATATTCAAAGAGGTATTATGAATTTTAAATGACTTGTTCTATAATCACTTCAAACAATATCTGATACACACTGAGCACAATATGAGTATTGGCTACTATTAATACTCAACATATTAATTCCTCCGTGAAAAAACGAGTGTAATAATGTGAGAGTGATAATAATTACCGAAACCGTAAGTGTGTTTTCTAGTTATTTCTACTTTGCTACTTTCTTCACTAAGATCCTGCCAAAGCTTTGTCTTCTCCTGCAATATTGTCAGAAGTTGAGTATCTTTTCTTTTTTTAAAGATTTTATTTATTTTCGAGAGACGGAGAGAGTATGGTAGGGAGGGTCGGGGGTGAGGTGAATGGGGGGGTGGCACATAGGGAGAGGGAGGAACAGACACCCTGCTGAGCACGAAGTCTGATGCAGGGCCAAAGGCAGATGGTTAACCAACTTGAGCTACCCAGGTGCCCCAGAAGTTGCATATCTTTATAAAGCCCTGTGAAGCAAGCCAACTGCTCAAGTCTGGATGGGTATTAGTAAAAAACCAAAACCAAAAACAAAAAAAAACAAACTTATACACAAATTCTACCATTTCTGCCAATATAAATTTTAATGTGGTAGTTAGTATCTATGAATGTGTGTGATGATGGAAATTTGCTATTCAATCACCAATCTTTTATGTACTATTCAATATAAAGTCTGTTCATTTCTTTTCCCCAGAGCCTGATGTTGTTTCTTTTACTCTCATATTTATTTAACAATAACCGAACACCTGTTTCATGAAAGATTCTTTATCATGTGCTACAAATTACACAAGGGTGTCTTGAATTCTGAGCTTTGTGTTCTCTTTTTCCTATTTTATTTCAAAAGAGATGACACAATTATAATTGTGTAAAAATCATGTCAATACATGGCCAATTACTAAAACATAGATTCCCAATTACTATAATTGGTAGATGAATGAGAAGAGGGGTGCCTGGGTGGCTCAGTCATTAAGCGTCTTTCTTCAGCTCAGGTCACGATCCCAGGGTCCTGGGATTGAGCCCTGCATCTGGCTCCCTGCTAGGCAGGAAGCCTGTTTCTCCCTCTTCCACGTCCCCCTGCTTGTGTTCCCTCTCTAGCCAACTCTCTCTGTCAAATAAATAAACAAAATCTTAAAAAAAAAATGAAAAGACATAAAAAGGTCTAGAGCTGGGACGCCTGGGTGGCTCAGTTGGTTAAGCGGCTGCCTTCGGCTCAGGTCATGATCCCAGAGTCCTGGGATCGAGTCCCACATCGGGCTCCTTGCTCGACAGGAAGCCTGCTTCTCCCTCTGCCTCTGCCTGCCACTCTGTCTGCCTGTGCTCACTCTCTCTGACAAATAAATAAATAAAATCTTAAAAAAAAAAAAAAAAAGGGGTCTAGAGCCATACAATTTGTTGTCCATCAGATTTTTGGTAGTACTAAAAACAAAACTACAGAATAAAGATTACCTGTACACTAATATCCTTAAAATGATATGGACCACTTTTCAGTGGTCTTCTGAAGTTTTCTAAAAGAGAAATGCTTTCTCAAATTTTGAAATAACTCACCAATGGGAGACAACACTCTTGAAAACTGAGAGACATTTATTTAAAGGCTGAAACTGATGGTTTGGGATGCTTAAACCTACTAAATGTCAGCTTCTTAGTCTGTGAAGTGGAGAAGTACCCATCTGCTGAGTTGATTTATTAAGTCTCTAGCCAGCTCTACTGGACTGAAGGCGTGCCTGCCCTTTGTAATGTAAATTATTCTGGGGGCTATCTTGGGGGAGGCAGAAATTTAATCGTGATCCCTGCTCATGAGTTATTATTTATAATGAGGAGTAGAGTAACATTTATGGAACATTACTGAAAAACAATCAACCCACTGTTCAGAGCTAATTTCTACAACATAGCTATGTATTTATTGGAGGGCAATGGAGAAGAAAGAGGTGCGGCCCGAAAGGGTTTCACCCAGAGGCGGGTGAAGCTGACCTGGAACTCCAAGCATGATGGAGAGGACTTATAGATACAGAGGCGGCTGGCAAAAACATTCAGGCCCAAAATGAAGGTATAATTTCAGGTATGGAAATATCTGAAATATTTCTGCTACATGGAATTGTGGAGAGACTGGTTTGCCAGGAGTTGAGGCAAGGTATTAGAAAAATATGAGAAATAAAATGGCCAAGATGGTCAGCTCAAATTATGGAAGGCTTGGAAAGCCACACAGAGAAGTCGAGACACTCCTAAGGGTTAAAACCAAACAGAACAAAACAAAGGAACATTCATGTGTTAGAGTAGGGGAATGACATGGTAAAAATGAAAAGGAGGAGAAATCTGCCAATAAATGGACTTTGAATTTTTAAATAGGTTGACTGAAAAGCCTAGGTGCTTGGTATTTATAGTGTTAAAATATCCACTCACCCATTAAACATATTAACACTAGCATCATTTGAAATTTTACTAGTTATCTGAATATATTTGAAGTATTAATACCATTCCCATTTAAAACACACTTCCTTTGCTTGTCCATAACAGGTCCTACCATTTCCCTATGTGCCTAACCATAAGAGGCTGGGGCTTCAACTGGTGAGGAAAGGCAAGGTTTTCCAGCCAGTGAAGCTTGGTCTACTGCCCAAATCATGCAGCACTAGTACTAGAGAGTAGAATATATGAGGTATGATTATTCTGAATTCCAATCTATAGAAAGTTGGCACTACCTGTTTGAGTTCTCTCAAAATTAGACTTTGACTGTATAATATTTCCTTCACAAGAAACACCATACCTAACATTTTTCATATTTATTACTTATAGGAGAAATTCACTAACTCAAAAGATGTTTCTTTTCCTGACTGGCTGGCTGCTGCTTTTTTTCCCTCAAGGTTTGAGTTGGTGTGTTATATAATTCTATGTATAAAAGCTGCCTTGAATTAATAGATAATAAGGTTTCCCCTTCTTCCTCTTATGTCCCTGAGATTGGAAATGGTAAATCTACATCTTGCCAAATTCTCTAGAGACATATGTTTATTTTTTAACTTGAAGTATAATTAACATAGTGCTCTATTAGTTTCAGGTGTCCAATATAACAATTCAACATTTCTATAGAGTTTTCAGTCTTTATTGAGATAAGTTTACTCCTCATCCCCTTTATCTCTTTCACCCATCCTCCCACCCAGCCACCACTTTGCAACATTACTTTGTTCTCTGTATTCAAAAGACTGGTTTTGTCTTTTTTATTTTGTTCATTTGATTTGTTTCTACAATTCCACATATGAGTGAAATCATATGGTATTTGTCTTTCTCTGTCCCACTTACTTCACTTAGCATTACACCCTATAGGCCCACCCATGCTGTTGGAAATGATAATATCTCATTCTTCTTTATGGCTGAGTAATATTCCACTGCATCCATGTATACCACATCTTTATCCATTCATTTATTAATGCACACTTGAGCTGTCTCCATATCTTGGCTATTGTAAAAAATTCTGCAAACACAGGAGTGCACATAACTTTCTGAATTAGTATTTTCCCCCTTTGGGTAAATACCCAATACCTCAGAGATAAAGAAGTGATATTCACTGACAAATATGCCATCAAGTTTGAAATTAAACATAGTAACAATTACAAAATCTATCCAATTGTGAATTTAAAGGCATTCTAATAATATCTTGGATTAAAAATTAAATCACATGTGAAATTAAAAGCTAAATGTTAGAAAATAAGAACACTAAACTCCAAAAATCTACGATAAAAGTTAAACTGTTATTCAGAGATTAACTCTTAACTTTAAATGCAAATAAGTAAGATTAAAAGTAAATATGTTTATAATCCAAAAGACTAGAAAAAATTATACAAGTAGAACCAAGAAGGAATGAAAAATTAGTAAGGATTAAATATATTAATACAATAGGGAAAGTAGGCTCATAATTAATCAATTAGGCTTTTATTTTTAGGTGACTTCCTAGAAAATACTGCTGATAACAGGCAACTATTTACAGTTCTAATTGGGATAAAAGACATAAATATTAGGAACAAAAAAGGTGAAATACCTACCTCACAGAAAATTTAAAATTATACACCTAAATAAGTGTGTGTGTATATTTGTATATATGTGTGTACACACAAACAGCATATACTGAAAATGCTAAATAAACTGAATGTTTTGCTATAATAAATATAGGTTACCAAAACTCACACCCTTTGGGATGGAAAGAAATATAATGCCAAAACCATATCCACTGAAGAAATAATCAAAACACTATGTCTACACTGATGCCAGGTCTTGGAGGTTTCACTACCAAATTACAATACAAGGGGATTATGTTGAGTCAAATAAGTCAAGCAGAGAGAGTCAATTATCATATGGTTTCACTTACTTGTGGAGTATAAGGAATAACACGGAGGACATGGGGAGATGGAGGGGAGAAGTGAGTTGGAGGAAATCGGAGGGGGAGACAAACAATGAGAGACTGTGAACCCTGAGAAACAAACTGAGGGTTTTGGAGGGGAGTGCGGGGTTGGGTGAGCCTGGTGGTGGGTATTATGGAGGGCACGTATCGCATGGAGCACTGGGTATGGTGCATAAACAATGAATTTTGGAACACTGAAAAAAAATAAAATAAAATGAAAAATAATTACAATACAAGCTTAAACATAATGGATTTTATAGATTATATATTTACATCAAATTTTAATATATGGCTCTATAACACTGAAAAAGGATTCAAAGTTCTTAATATATTCATACCAAGATTAGTATATCTGTAACAACAAAAAGCAAATTATATATATGCTAAATACCACTATTAGAATCCTACTAATAGAACAGTTGTTAAAATGCTAAAATAGTAGAAACTGATATTCCATAATGTAATAAAAGAATAATATAACACAAGCAGGGTTTATTTAGCAACAAATTTATAATTCGTTATTAGAAAGACCTATCAACAGAATTTCCTAAGGTAACTGCTTAACAAAGAAAAATATATTTATTATAATAGATGGTGAACAATTGCTTTATATAATTCAACCTCCATTCCTAACAAAAACAATTACAAGGTTCAGAAACCTAGAACTAATATTCTACTTAATAATGAAACTTGGAAGAATTCATGAAAAAATCAAGAACTTATCAAAAGAGTCCCATAATTATTATTTAATGTAACAAGTGATTATGGTTAGTTCAATAAGACAGCAAAAAGAAATAAAAGGATTATTTTAAAGAATGAGTAATGAAAAATTTCACTATTTCAGGTGATTATCTGCACAAATTTAAAATCAAATGAAAAGTTCTTTGAAGTAAAAAGAATTTTTGGAAAGGAAGCTATAATTGTACAAATATAAAAAAAATTACTTTCCTTACACTCTGCAAAAACAAACTAGAAGATGAAAAAAAAAAAACCCTACCATTTTAAGATGTCAATGAAAACTATTAAGTTCCTAAGTAATTAATCAATGAAAAATGTATATGGAAAAAATGAAAGAAAGAATATTATGAACTTCTATTGAAGGACAGAAGACATAAATAAATGGAAAAACACAATTATTATTTCTCAGTGGGAGAAGTCGATATTTTAAGATGTAAATTCTATTCCCAACATTAATCTTTAAATTCAATGAAGTTCTTAGTGAACTAATAAGACTAATTTAATGGGTGGTTTTAGCATTATCCTAAGTTCATCTGGAAGTAAAAATACCTAAGAAGAAAGAAAATTTTGATCCAGAACAATGAGAGTGAACACATCCCAACAGATTTCAAAAACAAACCACAGAGCCATAGTAATTAAGACAGACCCCATATATATATATATAGATTACAATTATCATAAAATTGACCCTTCAAATGAATAGAGAAAAGATGAAAGATTGGGGGAAAAAAAAACCCAAAAACAGTATTGGTCAAGCTACAGTTATCCTTTTAGTAAAGTTAGGTTGCCTACTTTAAACCATTCCACAACACAAACTCCAAAGGGCAAGTTCTGGGGACCCTCTGAAGTCTTGAAGATGACAATAAAATGTCCCTGGGAATTTATACTGCCAGGTGAGATTTACTTCACGAGTCATGGCCAGAGCCCTTGAAGCCCTTGTTAACACATCATTGAATTATTAGAAATCCTACCATCTAGAAGAAACTTCAGAACCTAACTGGGGTGTCAGTGGCTCCTTATAACCAAGAACCAGGGAAGTCAAAATGTTATTTTCCTCATGGTACAACATTCTAGAATGATTTTCAGTACAGATGCAGTAAGGGTTAAGTTCTCATCTGTGGGCTGGCAACTCTAGCAACTAACTAATTTGTTGAATATTTCTAAGGAAAGATATTCTGAGTAACAAGCAATCCAAAGGAAGTCACACTGGAGACTGGTACTAATGAGATTTTTTTTGAGTCTCAATACCGCTGAAACTTTTATTTATATCAAAATCATGATTCAATCAGTTTTCAGAAAAACAAAAACTGAATGACTAACATACTCCAGGAGACACTATCTATAACTGCTACATAAGATTACAGTCTTTCTCTTACACTCTTTAACTTTCAAGAATCCTCTATCTGCAGACAATACATACCTAATAAGACTTGGTGAATGAATGAATGGATCAACAAAAGCCTAGCAAACAAGGACAATCCCAAATCCTCCTCAGCAACTCAATTATGCAACCATTCTGCTCCAAGTGTTACTTGGTGTGTGCATGGAATCATGCCATCCTTCATTGGCTCATATAAAATGCCTGGGCCAGAAAAGTCAGCTAGAGAAAGAAGGCATCAGACTGTGTCAGGGCTTTTTACGTCAACTAGAAGACGTGGGGGAACTGCAGCAGGCACTGAAACAAGGCTTGCATGTTTAGATCAACGACTTGCCACTGTGAGGAGGATAAATTTAAGGGGTGTATGCTAAAGTCAGGGAGATCACGTAGGGGGCTACTTCAGTAATAAAGGAAGATGATTTGTTTCTGTACTAAGGAAGTAGTTACAGGAAAAGAGGGGAGTAGAAATATTCTATAACTATTTACAAGACAAATTCCGTAGTTCTCGGAGATGGGCACATACAGTGCAGCATGTAGACAGAGTTGAGGCAAATGTATAGGGATGGTGCCCTGGGCACACAGTATCAGCAGCTGAGACACAATATACAGGATCCTGTGCAAAAGCCTTGGAGCAGGAACCCCCAGTCACAGGACCACAGCACAACTGTGAGAGGTTTCTTATAGGTAACTCCTCACTTCAGTACCTATCAGAGTTTGTGAGGGACTTACTTTGTGTTCATTCATCCGTAAATAGAGTGCACTGGAAAATATCTCTAAAAGAGAGACATCCTTATTCATTTGCGTTCCAAAGGACAATCTTAAATAGGAAAATAGCAGCCAGATTCAGAGCTGGTCAGTCAGACACTGGGGGCAAGTCCTAGCCATCTGTGCCATAACCTGTAGGGCTACTGATAAGTTACTCATTGTCACTCATATTCTTTTGTGCTTCTTATATGATCTGTGTAACAAAGCAACCTCAAAATCAAAAATCTAAAAACACAACAGGAAAACTCCTTCACCTGGGGCTCATGGCGTTCTCTCTGAACAATGGGGATCTACTGAGAGTGTGCTATGCATGTGAACATCAACCATCTTTTGTCTCCAACTGGTCAAAAGATGAGAAAACTACTGCTCAGAGGCTCATGTGAACGTGCCCCCTCCACTTGCCTGACTGAGGTGCTCTTGCCTGCCATTAACCACTACCTCATTGAACAGGGTCTCTGCCAGAGCACCTGCACAGAGACACCAAGTGGGGATGTACAGTGGCTCTAGGAGGGGGAGGGACATGATGAGGCTTTCTGATCAAATGAAGTAAAGTTCTGTCACTCAAGGCCAAGTGAGTGAAGGCAATGAGCTCTAAGGCAATAGTGCCTTCAGTATCAGGATGAGGGTGTTTTAATTTATCCTGCAGGGATAAAGGACTTCTCGGTTAAATGGCAGAATTAGGCCAGATTACTGGTGTGAACTCAGTCAAGAGGCCTAAAGGTACCAGATTCCTCCGGGCTTGATACACACAAAGAACATCCTGGTTCTGACCACAATGGTATCAATTTACAGAGTCCTCTTTTAAACTGAGATCTAGTCATTCCTCGGTTTTGAGTCTCCTACTTCCTAACTGTTAAAATGTTGGTGGGTCTCCTGGCAGCTGTGGTTTCTTCACAATCCCAGTTCAAGTTTTCCTTATCTGTTTTGAAGAAATTGCTTCTTCTTGCCTTGAACTTGTAAATATGCTGTGCGATTGTTTTGGCGGGTGATGACTTACCAAAGAGCCACTCCTAGGAACTGCAAAACTCCCTTCTTCATCTTGGGACCCATCTGACAGGGTGGTATTGTTGAGAGAAGCACCACCTGGCTAAATGAAGAAATAAAAGTACCATTTTTATTCAGGCAAACACTTCTAACGTGTGTATTACACTATGTGTATCTATTTAGATGTGTGTGACACTATATGAAGTTGTGACTTTCTGGGCAGGGACAGCTGCATCCAGTCCTTCAGGGAACATCACTGTGAGTTCCTAAATGCCAGGCCCTTCCACAGACACTAGTCAGACACTGGGCCCTGTAACCAACACTGCTATTGCCTGCCACAAACTCCTTTTTCCTTAACAATGTCTTGGTTTTGTTCCAGGGAGTTAAACCAAAGAACTTCATTTCTAAGCTGCTTTGCAGCTGGGAGTGATCATGTGCCTAGTGTGATCAATGAGAGGCAAGTGTAATTTAGCAAGAGTGCTTTCAGAACAGTTAAGGCTTTCCTGACCAAAAGGAAGAGGGTCATCTCTCATGCACTTGTGACAGTGCTGTAGATGACAGCCTAGAGTTGCGAGGTATCTTGTTGGAATAAGGATGATGGCCAAGACAATGGGCAGCAGAGGTGGAAGATCAAGCCTACCTGGGTTTGCACTAAGGCATCCTGTAATGTCCTGTCAGACTCAGACCACCAAGCCTCCACGTGAACCAAAACAACTTCAACCCTTCCATTACATACGGCCAAACTTGCCTAATCTTAGTTTAGAAACACACCCTATAATTATCTTTTGCAGGGACTAGAATTCAGTAGCAACAATACCAGGTTATGTTCGTCATTTATAAAGTTAGAAATAAGAGATTTTTGCTGTAGTGGACCATGGTTTCACTAAAATTTAAGACGTAAATATTCTTTTATTTACTGAAGGAAACTTATAAAATCGAATATATTTAATACTTATATGAAAATACAGTGTTTTGTTTTTTTTTTTTTAAATTGTCACTTGGGGCCCCTGAGTGGCTCAGTTGGTTAAGCATCTGACTTTTGATTTCAGCTCAGGTCATGATCTCAGGGTTGTGAGACTGAGCCCTGTGTCAGGCTCTGCAGGGGCATGGAGCCTGATAATTCTCTCTCTCCCTCTCCCTCTGCTCCCCCTTGCCACTTCTCTCTCTCTCCTTCTCTAAAAACAAAACAAAACAGAAAACCTTTCACTCACCTTGCTTGACCACATTTTCTATATCTTACGGATAATAGGCATTACTTTATAAAATGGAGAAGCTTTTTTGAGAGAGAGAGAGAGAGAGAGAGAGAGAGAGAAAACGCGTGCACCGGAGTGGGTGGAGGGGTAGTGGGAGAGGGAGAGAACAAATCTCAAGCGGGCTACACACCCAGCATGGAGCCTGAATCTGGGCTTGATTTCGCGATCCTGAGACATGACCTGAGCCAAGATCAAGAGTTGGCCACTTAACCGACTGAGTCACTCAGGTACCTATGAACCTTTTCCTTAAAATGACAAACAAAACATGAGAACTAGTATAAGATGGTGGACTAGAAGTCAAGATGCTCCCCTCCGTACCCTTCACTAAAAACGGCAGAAAACATACATATATATATTTTTGAAGGAGGACATTTTTGATAGCACTAGAAACCATTAAAGAATTCCATAGCAGACCAACTCAGAAATTTCTAGATTAAAAGCAGATAGAATCGGTTTGGTAAAATAAAAACCTCTACCTAAGAGTTGCATAAGAGAACATTTCTAGAGAGGGAGGAGAAAAACAAACAAATAACAGAACTGTACAAAGAGTACAAAAGGATCCCAGGTAAATAGTTAAAAATGTTTGCAAAATAGAAGCTAAGTAGACCAGCCCCTTAAATATACAGACAACCCCTGAATATAATGCAGGAAAATCTCGCAAAATGTAGTCTAAATAAAATGAACTAACTGCCTTAGGGTATAGGATCCTAGGATGAGTATACAGGCCTAAGAAGGAAATCAGGAGGCCTAACAAAAGACATGGAGGGCAGATTGAAATGAATCAGTTTTGCCTGGAAGCAATAAATTAGGTTCTTCATTCCTGTCATCGGTTTGGTATCTGCGGATAATGTGTACTGACCTACCTGCCTCCTCTACACACTTCAAAGTTAAGTACACCCCACTTAGAAGAACACACAATCAATAATTTTAGCCTTTGGAAAAACTGATCTACTCAAGTGCAAAGGAAATATACAGCAATTTTCTCATCAATTAAAAATTAATAAAGTCAGTGCTATGATTCTACAGAGAACTTTAGGGGCCCACTGAGCTGTAGAGTTCCACCTGAGAGTGTGCTGGTGCCCTCTGTCTTGTAGAAAACTTTCTACCCTATGCTTCCTTGGATTGAGTATCTGGTGGATCATCCCCCCCTTCTGTGACAGCATTCTCAATGGACAGCAGAACGAGGGGGGGACTGGGGAGCTGGACAGGAAAAAACACCCTGCATCCAGACTCCTGGTCAGAAGCTCTCTCTGCAGTGGAGGCAAAACCTAAAACCGGAAACACGTGCTGCCACTCAACAGGAGATGTGCGCTTCCCTGACCAGATGGTTCTCACACTCAGGCAGACACTTCACTGTTTGCGTCACTTACTATTACACATTCCAAAAGCTGACATTTTCCCACACAAGATGTTTATATTTGAAAAATAAATGGAAAAAAACCTAAATATTTATATCTTAGTTGATACTTGAAAATATTGAAAAAAAAAAAAAAAACAACCATTTACATGGTAGTCTGTTATTTTTATGTATGAGCTAACCCTTGAGGATCAAGCTTTAGTTGACAAATCCTCTACTGGGGATACATGCACAAAAATTCGTTTTTGTGTCTGTTTCTCACTATAGATACTTTTGGAATTTAGTTATTTTTTATTTACCTACTAAAGGATTCCCTGCTGAGTTTATGAGCTACGGGTGATGACCTGTGGGTGACTTGTTTGCCAACAATATGAATTACATTACATCTTTACTCAAGAGAAATGACAATATACACCCTTTACATGAAATGAATCTCCATGGTGGCATTAAGCAAAACTGCTTGAAACTGGAAACAATCCAAACGTCCATCATGAGGTGAACAGATATACCAGTAGTCGTATATTTATGCAATGGAATACTAGTAATAATAAAAGAACCAAACTTCCATCACATGCAGCAAATGGATATATCTAAAAAAGTTATCATGAGTGAAAAAAGCCAGACACAGAAGTGCATTTTGTATTTATAGTTCTACTTATATGAGAGTGAAAACCATCCTAACATGTTAGAAATCACCACAGGGCTTGCCTGGGTAGGAGCAGGATGACAACTGGCTGGCAAGGGGTTCAGAAAGATTTCTGCTGTGATGGAAATGTTCTGTTTTGACGGGCTTGGTTGTATGGGTAAAAACATATGTTGGAATTAATTGAATTACACACCTAAAATACATGCACTTAATGTTTATAAAATTATACCGCAGTAAAAAACCATAAAAATAATTTTGATTCCTTCAAAAAATTTAATTCTTCTCTTCAGTGTGATTTAAGGGGCCATTGCTGCTATGAACCAAGAACCCACAGCTGCACTGGGGAAAAAGTTGTTCTTGAGAAATAAGAAATTGTTTATTGAAACTTAGAAAAAGAATGAGACAAGCTAAAAAAACTACATTCATGACCAAGACAAAAACCCACTAATCTGGAAAATAAAGATGAAGAGACAGAGCAAACAGACTAACATGAGAGGAAGTTTAGGAGATACTGAAATTTAGGGGCCCCTGGATGGCTCAGTCGTTAAGAATCTGCCTTCAGCTCAGATCATGATCCCAGGGTCCTGGGATGGAGCCCATATAGGGCTCCCTCCTTGGTGGGAAGCCTGCTTTTCCCTCTCCCAATCTCCCGCCTGTGTTCCCTTTATCACTGTCTCTCTCTCTCTCTCTCTCTGTCAAATAAATAAATAAAATCTTAAAAAAAAAAAAAAAAGAGGCAGATACTGAAATTCAAGGATGCCTGGGTGGCTCAGTTGGTTAAGCATCTGACTCTTGATTTTGGCTCAGGTCATGATCTCAGAGTCGTGAGATGGGGCCCTGCATCAGTGTCCACACTGGGCATGGAGCCTGCTTAAAATTCTCCCCCCACACCTCTGCCCTTCCCTTTCCTTCCTCCCCCAATTCTAAAAAAAATTTAAAAAGAAGATACTGCATTTCATTCACACATAGCAACAACCATCTAACAACCATCTAATATATCTAATATGTGTTCTAGAAGGATGGGGACACAGAAAATGGGGAGGAAAAAATGACTTAAGACATAACAGAAGGCAGTGTCCAGAAACTAGAGGGGGGAAAAATAAAACAGTTCTCAGGTGAAAAGAACTTGCCAAGTAGAGACCAAAATGAATGAAATAAAGGGCAGATCCTCAAGAAAATTCAGAATTCCAGGAATAAATTCAATATAAATTAAAAATTCAAAAATTCAAAAATTGGCAGGGAAACAAACAAAAAAAATACCCCCTCATTTATGAAGGAATGAGATTTAGGCAACTAAAATAAGAAATGAAAAACAAATAATGTAAGAGTGCAATAGTCAGTCGCTAAACATTAGAAGAAATTTTATCATAAAAGTTTTCCAGGACCGCTAAGGTTTTCCAATAGTAATGGTCAGTCAGTTGACACACGTTCCTATCGGGAATATTAACATGGTATCCAGAGTTTGCTAACCATCTTGTAAGAGTACGGATTAAATGCTATGGTGGCAGCATAAAAGGCAAAAAGCAGGGGCGCCTGGGTGGCTCAGTTGGTTAGGCAACTGCCTTCAGCTCAGGTCATGATTCTGGAGTCCCAGGATCGAGTCCCACATCGGGCTCCCTGCTCAGCAGGGATCTGCTTCTCCCACTGACCTCTCTCCTCTCATGCTCTCTCTCTCTCAAATAATTAAATAAAATCTTTAAAAAAAAAAAAAAAAGAACAAAGGCAAAAAGCAGAAGTTCATGCTAAGCCTGTCACTGCACTGTATTGCAGATGTACCAGCCACAGTCTACCCACCACCATCAGTACTTGTTTTGTGACAAAACAAATTCCTACTTGTTAAATCAAAGTTCCTTAGATTTTGTTTTCCATGAAGCAAACACAGATGTAACTGACATTGTTGTTTTTTGGGTTTTTTTTTGGTCCAGGTATTTTCTTTTTTTTTTTTTTAATTTTATTTTTTATAAACATATAATATATTTTATCCCCAGGGGTACAGGTCTGTGAATCGCCAGGTTTACACACTTCACAGCACTCACCATAGCACATACCCTCCCCAATGTCCATAACCCCACCCCCCCTCTCCCAACCGCCCTCCCTCCATCAACCTTCAGTTTGTTTTGTGAGATTAAGAGTCACTTATGGTTTGTCTCCCTCCCAATCCCATCTTGTTTCATTTACTCTTCTCCTACCCCCTTAACCCCCATGTTGCATCTCCTCTCCCTCATATCAGGGAGATCATATGATAGTTGTCTTTCTCCGATTGACTTATTTCGCTAAGCATGATACTCTCTAGTTCCATCCATGTCGTCTCAAATGGCAAGATTTCATTTCTTTTGATGGCTGCATAGTATTCCATTGTGTATATATACCACATCTTCTTTATCCATTCGTAACTGACATAGTTTTTAACAGACGCTATGATTGTATGCTGCAGTGAATTATGAAAGAATAGCAAATACAGGCATTTGATTTTCACTTAAGACACTGGAAATAAACTAGATCAACTACTTTGCTTTTTGCATATATTAACGCCTCAAATGACTAATTCATTTATGTGGACTGCACGTTTTATCTATCCAAGATGTGATTTTTAGAGGTTTGTTATGATGTTAGACTGGATTGTAGGACTTTTGTAAATGCCCAAATTCAGTGGCATTTGTGATGAGAGTCAAGGGTCAACTGTATATAATACATAAATAGACTATTTTAAGTAGGTTATTCCAAAATAAATACTTCAGATATTAATAAAATAATAAGATGTAATACGGACTCTTTTTAAGAGATTTACTGAGCTATGACATACAATTAACTACAGACATTTAAAGAGTAAGGGATACAGTTCGATGTTGTTTTGACAAAAAATGTAGGCCTGTGAAACCATCACCATAGTCAAGACAATGAACAAAATCGGCACCACAAAAATGTTCTTATAGCCCTTTGTTCACCTCTCCTTCCTTCCTCTCCTCATCCATCCCCAGGTCACCGGGGAATCACAATCTTCCTTCCCTCACTATAGGTTAGTTATATTTTCCATAGTTCTACATAAATTGGATCTTTTTGATCTGGCTTCTTTCACAATGCATAACCACTCTGAGATCCAACCATGTTGTACAAATCAATAGTTCATTGCATTTTATTGCTGAGTAATATTCTGTTGTATGGATATGCCAGAATTTGTTCATCCATTCATCTATAGGGAAAAACTATTCCCAGTTTTGGATTATTGTACTAGAAACATCTGAGTAAGTCTTTGTATGAACATATATTATGTATGAATAGAACAGCTGGGTCTGCAGTAGGTATATGTGTAACATTTTAAGAAGCTGTCACACTATTTTCCGAAGTGGAAGGCCCGCTTTACATTCCCACCAGCAGTGCAGGAGAACGTCAGCTGCTCTGCACCCTCAGCAGCAGCTGAAATGGTCAGTCTTTTTAATTTCAGTCATTCTACAGGTTATGTGGGAATATCTCACTGTAGCTTTATTTGTATTTCCAGAATCACTAGTGCTACTGAGCACCTTTCACGAGTTTATTTGCCATCTTTTTTGGTGAAGTGTCTATTTGAATCTTTTTCCCATTTTAGAAGATGAGAAAAAAACCAAACACTGGAAAGCTCAAAATATATTCTTGAAAGAGAAAGCTGATTTGTTTTCAGAGGTAAAGGATCTATGTGCTTAAATTAAGGGAACTAAAGGTTAAATACTAGCAGGAAACAAACTGGGAATAATTTTCAATATCAAATGAAATTTTATATTATTTCTGTAAACAATTGGGGTTATATTCTGGGATTAAATGGGAAAGTTAATCAGATGATCAAACCTCTCTTTCCTAAAACCTAATACAGTGAACAAAACATAACTTAAAAATAGGAAAAAAGATTCCCAGCAACATTCACATGAGTGGTGACTGGAGAGAGAGATATTCTAGGAATAACACAAATTCTTCTATAATCCAACTGCTGCCCCATCAAAACAGCACTAATGAAGAATGTAAATGGAGGGGCACCTGGGTGGCTCAGTGGGTTAAGGCCTCTGCCTTTGGCTTAGGTCATGATATCAGGGTCCTGGGATCAAGCCCTGCATTGGGCTCTCTGCTCAGCGGGAAGCCTGCTTCCCCCTCTCTCTCTGCCTGCCCCTCTGCCTACCTGTGATCTCTGCCTGTCAAATAAATAAATAAAATCTTAAAAAAGAGAAAGAGAGAGAGAGAATGTAAATGGAGAAAATTTTTAAATAGACAACTGTCATGTCCAAAATGAGAAAAGACAACCCAAAGTGTGAGTAACCATACTTGGGTTCACTATATGAACATTCAAACAAAGGCTCTCCCCAACACCATATCAGCAAGGAGGAGAGAACCTACTATAATTCACCATTCTGCCTTTTGTTGTCTGGGAGGAAGTTAGGAGAGGGAATATGAGGACAGAAAAAGAAAAAAGAAAAAAGAGACTATATGACTTCCACCAAAGAGAGAAAAGATAGTTTAAAGTAGGAGTGCACATAGAAACCTGTGAGAAAATGTTCTGGGCTAAACCATAAATGCAGTCCCCTTTCCTGTTTGGAAATAGATATAAGCTCCATCCTCCTCCTCAGGCTTATCTGGCTGTTCCTCCTTCTGGGTCACCTGGGAGGAGAAGTGGGGATGGGGCAAGCAGGGACATGGGAGAGGGAGGGAGAAACTGGACACCTGAGGTTACATGTATGGTCAGAAGAAAGGTGCTTGATCTTCACCTTGTAATGAACAAATAGTAGAAACCCGAGGACACATGTTTCCCCTCCAGCAGATGGACCTATGACTTGATGGAATGAACACTCTCCTGAGAATTTTTTAAAATAAAAGAAAAATGTAGAGGAGACAAATCTGCCCCAGAAAAGGCCTACAATCATTGGTTTTCTGGGTATTTATCTGTTTTTATAGAGTATGCAATTATTTGTGGATTTAACTATTAAACTTGGCTTTATTTAATGCTTAATGTTTTCCTGCAAATTGAGTAAATGTGGATAGGTATGTTGAGAGCTGTAGCTGTCCAGCCATCTTAATTATGGTATATTGTTCTGAAGTTTTGCCTGATTCTCTTGAAAAAAATGACTTCTTCATTCATCCCTATCCCCAACTATCCTGCTGTAACTTACCAAGGACCCACTTGTTTTGATAATTCCTGGCAGTTCTTTTTCCTCCGGGGTTCCATCCAACTGAGCAGTATGGTTGTCACAGGTATCACCTGGCTAATGAAAGAATGAAAGTCATTTTCAACCAGGCATATCTGTCCCAACATGATTGTTTATTCAATTACACATTATATAAGACTCTACAAATGTATAGTCATATGGTGATGGAGCATAAGTTGGTCTCAAAAGCAAACACTGTTAATTACCTGCCCAAATCCACTTTTCTTAACTTATGAATATCATGATTTGCTCCAAAGATGCTATGTCTAAACTAAAAAGACTAAAGTGTGATCATGTGATGGCTCTGACCAATGAGATACAAGCAGAATCCTACTTGGTAGAGCATCCAGGAAGGCTAATGTTTTCTTGTTAAAGTGGATAGAATCCACCAGCTGATGCTGCTTCTTCTTCACAAGGACCCAGTGTCTGTGATGCCCAGATATACTTGATAAGCACTAAATATTAGCCCATAGGCCAAGTGGAGCAGAATGGAAAGATGAAAAACTTGGTAGATTCATGCTAGGAAATCAGCCACACCAGCCTCAGACTTTAAGGATAATAAATCTCTAATCATCTAAGTCATGAAGCTTACTGATTAACCCATGCCACTTTAAAACCAACTTTATAATTTTTTGTAATGATTTACAAATCAGCAAGAGCAGTCAAGTTTTTTTAATCAAGAAACTAGAAATACATTAGGTTGACTAACTCAAAAACACATAAGACTGAACCAAATATTTCATTCCTATTCACTGAATATTGTAAAAGCTCTGATTTTCATTATGTAACATAGCAAGTGTTATCTAGAGATTAGTATGATTGTGATAGATGGCATTTTAGGTCTTGTGCATATGCTCTAAGATTTTTAGCAGCATTTGTGATATAATGGCATTCCCCAAAATAAAACGCAATTATTCTATTCCATGATTGAAGCAACATTTTGCCAAATTAAACATACTGGATATTAATGAAATCATACACTGCTACATGAGACTTCAGAAACTGTTGTTTTTCATCTTGCTTTTCCATATTTTCTACCTTTCCCCCAATATGTATGCATTATAGTAAGAAAAACAGACATCTGTTTCTAAGTAGAAGCAATGCTAAAGAGGCAGTACAAGAAACCAGGTCAGGACAGAGAACTGAAAGCACACCACTTCCAATCACTCAGAATTAGAGAAAGGTGTGTACTGTTATAAGAATAGCTCCAAGTGGCACTGGAAACCAACAAGGTGTCCTAATAACAGACGAGACATTGTTAGAAATTCCTGTGAAATAAAATGTAAACAATGTATTTCATAATTGTATAGAACTTACCCTAAGAACAGCATAAATCAACATTGCTGGCAAAGAAAGGATAAATCTACAAACAGCAAACATACAACCAAGTGAGCTCAGTGTGAAAATTACAAAGGGGAGGAAGGAGTCTTAGCTCAGTGGCCACAATAATTTATCATGAAGTGTTTCCTCAATGGAGGGACCAGACAGATCTCCCAAAGGCTCCCTTTACACTGAACAGCAGGCAGTAGCTACATATGGGCCCAAGAAAACCACTCTGGCTGAAGTGAACCACCTGCCTTGGAAAGTTGTCCAGGGTTGAGACCAAAACACATCTTAGTATCAGGTAACTCTGGACCTTCATGAAAGTCACGGAAGGGAGAATAAAAGGAAACATCAGTTTTTGTCTTGGATAGTAAGAAATGAAGTCATTCAACCTCTCCCTTTGGGGTGTGTGTGTGTGTGTGTGTGTGTGTGTGTGTGTGTGCACGTGCACGCATGCATGCGTGCGTGTGCACAAGTGCACATGAGCATGGATACTCATCCATATGTAGAGTTTAACTTCCATTCATTCCCATATTTTACTGACTTACACAGTACCCAAAATCAGCCCTCTCATTTAATAAAGAGTCCTTTGGGAAAATATCTATATCATGGTAGAGAAATCACATAGCAATAACACATCCTAAGTCACTAATGGGTTGGTCTAGCTCATTAAATACATATCAATCACCAAGGACCATTAGACATTGGAGAAAATTAGTGTAATGAATAAGTTACTCATGGCAAAAAAAAATCAACATTCTAAAAAAGTACAGTGACAAACATTCTGGGAAAAAGAATTGAGGGAAGGGAAAAGGCTTAAAATAAGTTAATTTCAGAGAGATTTGAAAAGATATTACAACCATAAATCAGGACAAGCTATCATAATAAAGGGGGAAGTCATTGAAAAAGCAGTTCCTATCAATTAATAGTATGACTACTGAATTAAAAAATCAGTAGAGGCTAAATTATAGCCACTCACGGCAAAAATGACAATTAGGAATCTACAAACTGACATAGACAAAATCTACTAGTAAAGAGAACAAATAGGAAAAAAGACAAGGAAATACAACATACAATTTAAGAACTATGTGAGTTTGGGGTGCCTGGGTGGTTCAGTGGGTTAAGCCACTGCCTTCAGCTCAGGTCCTGATCTCATGGTCCTGGGATCAAGTCCCGCATCGGGCTCTCAGCTCAGCAGGGAGCCTGCTTCCCTCTCTCTCTCTCTGCCTGCCTCTCTGCCTACTTGTGATCTCTGTCAAATAAATAAAATAAAAATAATAATAATAAAAAAAAGAACTATGTGAGTTTAACACACAGGCAATGAAAGGAAGGATAGGAAAATGGAAAATAGGGCGCCTGAGTGGCTCAGTGGGTTAAAGCCTCTGCCTTTGGCTTAGGTCATGATCCCAGGGTCCTGGGATCAAGCCCCACATCAGGCTCTCTGCTCAGTGGGGAGCCTGCTTCCCCCTCTCTCTGCCTGTCTCTCTGGCTACTTGTGATCTCTGTCTGTCAAATAAATAAATAAAATCTTAAAAAAAAAGAAAATGGAAAATAAATTAACTAAAGAAATAATGGAAAGAGAATGGCCAGAACTGAAAGAAAAGGAACATTTTTCACCAACAAAAAGCTAAGTGCTGATTGCGATTTAATAAAAAGGTGTCAGGGGCACCTGGATGGTACAGTCAGTTGAGCATCCAACTCTTGATTTCTGCTCGGGTTGTGATCTCAGGGTTATGAGACTTGAGGCCTTCGTGGGGCCCCTCGCTCAACCAGGAGTCTGCTTGGGTTTCTCTTTGCCTTTGGCCCTCCCCACAACTCCCCACCAAACACATGGACATAAGCTCTCTTTCTTTCTCAAATAAATAAATCTTTTTAAAAAATAAAAATAAAAAATAAATTAAAAAAAAAGATATCATATCCTGATGACAGTTCCGGTCTCCAACACTAAAGGTAAAGGTAAAAGGCTTCCAGAAATATAAAAATGAGAGAAGGAAACAAATAAAGGAGTAAGATTTAGAGAGACATCAGATTTCTCAACATTAACACTACATGAAAAAGCAAACAGATTATTAATATTTACAAATTTCTGAAAAAATTAACATAGGGCTTAGCACTTTGATACTCCTAGTTTAGGATTTAAGCTTTTTAGATATGAAAATTTAGTATCCACAGATATTTTTTGCCAGATTTGCTCAAATGATAAAAGATGTAATCTGCTAAAAAGATGTAACATTTTGTAATATATATGATTATGCAAATTAGTATTTGTACTATTCTCTGTATTTACTCTACTATGTTAGGCCTCACCATCCTCCTAGGAGAAAGAACAGTACTCGCTTTCTCATTCCAGAAACCTGTCAGTAGTTCAGGGGTAGGGCTGGAACAAAACTTTAATGTCCTCTTCCATCTCACTGCAAGATTTCTTCACGTGTTTGGCACCACACTTGCCCCTTTATTCACCTTTAAAAGGTGGTAAGACCTTCAAGGAATTAAAATACATGGACTAGTGATAAAAGGGAAAAGAAACAAAAGAAGCCTAGACTAATCATGAGAGTCCATGGCCAGGGTGGATGTGTTGGGTGTGGCATATAAGACTTCAAGAGTAAAGCTCACTCTTCAGCGCTGCCTTGACATCTGGTAAAAGCGCAAGGACCACAAGTGGTCTAACTAGAAGCTCCCCTCCTACTCTGGTCCCTCATAAAAGGTCCCCTAGACAGACAATGTTCCTTATGTGGGGGACCAGACACAATTCCTGCTTATCCTTGAGTAACACGTTTCAGTTCCCTGTTAGCCGGTGAAATTATTCGAACAAGTGAATCACATCCTCCCTTGGGAACCATGGGGTACCTCACTCTCTTGATACTACAAAGCCTGTCTCCTACCACCCCTGGTTATTCACTCTGTTCCCAAGTGCACCCCACACGTGGCTCTGTGTCCCCATCCCCCAAGCTGTGAGAACATGTGATAATAAATTGCTGTTGATCTTGTCTGTTGCTGAGTGTCAAGATACCCCTGTAACCCTAGGGTGGGAATCCCTCCCTCATCCACAGGATGAAGAAGAGATGATCAAAATAGTATACAGAAAGCCAGGATAAAGGCTGACAGAAATCCACTATTTGAAAACACTAATATCTACTCTGTGTGTCCCTCTTCTGGCTGGTCTGGAAGAGTAAACGGAAGAGAGGAATCACAGCCTGGATCAAGAGTCCTGGTCGGAAGTAAGGTATCTAAGACTCCCTACAATGCAGGAAAAATCTAAAACCAAGGACACTTACTGCCAACATAGCAGAAAAAGTAGACTTCTAACTAAATGGAATAATCTTATGAGAAAATAATGAAATTAGAAAAAAAGAAAAAAAAAAACTAGTGACAAAATCTGCAAAATAGGATTGCTCACAGAACTTGACAAAACCCTCAGGCAACAGAAGAGCAGCCAGAAGACAAACTAGACACATCCAAACCCTTAAGCAGAATTTGGAAAGAACCAATGACTAGCTTGAATTAGGACAATCTTTTAAAGATCCAGACAGAATATCCCACATAAAATACATGTAAGATGAAAATAAACTGTATAGAAACTAAAGATCATCATCATCATTATTCATCAGATCAAGGATGGTACAAGGGTTATTCTTAGAACACCTAAAGTATCTCTCTTCCTCTGGTAGGAAAGAAAAATGTAGAGCTCAAGAGAAGGTAATATATGAGTTGTAACAAGGGAAAGTTTCTCACCA